CTAGCCAATCTCTGTCGCAGACACATGCTCAGGCATATTTGTGTTTGTAGAATACACACAGAACCTACCAGTTGTTTATACTACAACTAGGCTGAGTGGACTATAGTTATAGTGTCTGGGAGAGAGAGCACCTAATCTGTTATAATCAGCAGTTTGAACAACACCAGTATGCTCAAGCCTTTGACCACGATGATTTGTGACTCCATGCTAGCACAACCATCAACAAATTCTGAATAGTTCCGTCTACCCAATTTCATCCACAAGACATGTATTAACCCATGGTATGGTTCCCAGAAATTTTCAAAATGTGTCGCACACTAGGATCAATAACATCAAAAAGTCACCTTGATAAATCAACCAATTCCTAAATGGGACTAGATATGCTTTAATATTTACCAAAAACTGATACTGTACACTATTTTGACTACTGAGCAGAACCAAAGCAATGTAGCTGATAAGCTGTGTCCTTTTCTAAAGAATCAACAATTAAATTATTTATTAGTAACATCATATTTCAGATATTCTTACATTTTAATTACAATTTCATCTTTTTCTTTTATTGGAAGATCAATCAACAATGACTCAATCTACTTCTGATTTCTTATATTATCCCACACAATCAAATACTATAATTTCTACAATAGACTAATCACTAATACACTGTCTCTTGGTTGAAAAAAAAAAAAAAAAAACACACACACACACAAAAAAAAAAACAAAAAACAAAACAAATCCTTCAGTGAACTTCCAACTGAAAGATCAAGATATTAACTACCTGACAATACTTCTCCCAAATGATGTCTCCATTTCAATGAAAGGCTCAGGACATTCCCTAATTTATAATATTCAATGAGATACAGAATTCAAAGGAATGTGTATGCTATTAGCAGAAACAATTACAACAAAACAAAATGGTGGGGGTGTAAGAAAAAAATATTACTGCAAGACTGAGTTCCTTCTTCTAAAAGTGGGATAAAATTTATAGATTCAAATTCAACAGGTGACAAACAGATTTTTTCTCCTGCACAGTAATAACTTATCATGTCTGTTTTCCTTCATGTCTATGTGTGTGTGTGTGATATATATATATATATATATATATATATATATATACACACATATATATATATATATATATATATATATATATATATATATATATATATATACACACACACACAAAGGAATTTTTTTCAAAAACATTGTTGGTCTTATAAATTGTTTTTATCAAAGTTGCTGCCAAATTTACAAATAACTAGAGTTCCTTAACAATATTTTCTCTTGTTAATGGGGCAATAGATTTTGTCAACTACATAAATATTAAAAAACTTGGAATTCTGAGAGTTTAAACAAATTTGGAAGAAGATCAAACTTCCCTTAACCTGAAATCATTTTTCACTGATTAGCAAATGAGAATTTGTAAATGGTATTCCTCCAAGAACCTCAACTGCATTATTTCATGCTATTGAGATAATACAACAACTATTAAACTGAAAGATAATTCCTAGAGCAACAGGAAAAAAGCCAACAGATATAAGAGACCAAAATATGATAAATAAAGTTGTTTGAGAAACGAACATTTTTTTCTTTATGCATTTGATTTCAAAGTTGTTGGGTCATTTATATAAAAATATCCTAAATTCAAGTTACTTATTTTTTCTTGAAAGGACATTCATTTAAATAAACTCAGAAAATTTTAATTCCCTAATATTAAAAGGCTAAATAAGTAGGATAATTAGTTTCTTAAAAGTTTTTAACATAAAAGAATCTCTTCTCATTAAATATTTTCCAAGTCAGTTGTATTTGCCATGAAAAATGTTTTGTTTACACTGATTATTATTTGAAGTGAAGAAAACAAAATGAAAACAGCTATGAAAGTTGTTCCTTTTCTGATTCTTCATGATTCATTGATTGATAAAAGATAGTCAAATTGAATTTTATGGTTTGCTGTATTAGAATGTTTATTTCTTTTTATCAAAGACGGAAGCAAATCTAAAAAATTTGGGTTATTATGCCACTAGTGTCAAAGGTTAATCATCATGAAAGGAAATATGCAACAGCAGTTGGTCGTTGCCTTCAAGAAAGCTTGGCTTTGAATTTATATTATTGCATGTGCATTTTCCATAGGTTGTAGTACCACTTCTGGTTCCAGTATGACTAGAGGTGGATTGTTTTCAATTACAACCCTTCCTATAAAGTTGTTGTTTACAGACTTTGAACTTGTATGCTACATGAATTTTGCAAAATGAAAAACTGATAAAAATGAGGTAAATTTTACACTTTACTCTATTTAATATTATGGAATATTATTAAAAAACTGGGCAAGATTCTAAACAACAAAAATATATTGAATTATGGCAAAGATGAAACTGTTTTTCTGAAAGAGAAATTATTAAGATATTAAACATGAATAAATGCTTAATAATGAGAGAATTGTTTACTTGCCAGTTCAAATCTACCTGATTAGTAATGAAAATATTAGAAATTGAATGCACATTTCAATGTTAGGAAAATTTCTTGTAGAAAACCCTATTTACAAATTATGTACTAATCAAAATCCGACAAATGTTTCATCTTGAGATCAAAGCTTTTCCTATAAAGCACAAATCCAATGATTAAAAGATAAAATGTCAATGAAATTGAGTGATGTGAGGAATTAATAGTGAACAAAATTCTTGCTTTAACAAGAGTCTTCATTTTATTACAGAAAAAGGAGTTGATGAAAATTGTACTAAAGGAAAATAGTTTTGTTTAAATAAAATGATTTTGGAACAACTTTTAGAAATAAACTAATTTCATGGTAATTTTTTGTTCTCCAAGATATACACGTACACACACACACACACACACACTATCATGATGAGGCATAGAAAAGAAAATGTAAAAACACTGATTGCATGGGATTTTTTAAAGTTATTTTCTACTATTATAAAAAAAAATTTAATAATGCATCTATTTTTTAAAAATTTGTATTCTAAACTTTCAAATAGAATATTGTGAATATGCAATAGATCTAATAATTTTAAATCTACAATATGGAGCAAGATTTTTATATATATATATATATATATATATATATATATATATATATATATATATATAAAATAATGGACTCTCCTATTGTGAATAGAACATATGTGTGTGTGTGTGTGTGTGTGTGTGTGTGTGAGAGATAATATTTTATAACAAGTCATATTTTAAAGAAGTTATTTTTTTAACATGAATTTAAATATTAATGAAACTTAGATTTTAACATGGAAATTGGAGGAGAAATTCTTTTGATTATCTTGTGTGGGGGGGGGGGGATAATATTTCTTAAGGTTAATTTTGAAAACCTCTTGTTATTATCTGTCTTAAGAAATATTAACCCCAACACAAGAAAATCACTCCAAAAACTATGTCACAAATATATTTAAAATAAGTATGTTAGTATATACATATGAATGGCAAGCTGTAATCTGCTTCAGTAGAATGAAGAGGTTAAAGCTGAGACTGATCCCCAAAACAATGTTATGATAGTTTAGAAGATTTTAGTATCACAAACTAACAAACTAATATTCTGAAAATAAATGAACTATAAATGACTTTATTCATCTACATTTGTACTTTAATGCGCAAATATCATGCATAATGCACATGCATACAAATATGTATGCATATATGTAGCCTATTTATCTTTCTATAAACTGGAAAGTAGATAAGTATATGATTATCAAATAGATGTCCATGAGAATTCTTCAAAAGAATTTTGTCTGATATGATATATAAAGATGTGTATGGTAATGTATTTCTAAATAATTTTTGAAGGGCACATTTTTCTAGATGAAAAAAAAAAAGAGAAAAATCTTTGCACAAAACATTGTCTTGTTGCTAATTAAAACTAACAAATAAAATCCCTAAACTCCAAGCAAACTGAGACATACAGAGTTTACTATTTAAGTTCATACTCTGAAAAATAATTATTTTGACAATTTGTCAATTAAACGATCACCCAATAGGATTAAATGTTCAACCAAAGTATAAGCATTAGCATGCCAGTCTCACAAACAACTAAAAATGAGTTTGACCCTCACTGATGTGGCTTAGTCAAAGAAAATACAAAGTTAATCTCTGCTAGAACCACTTTAAAGGACAATTCATGCAATCAATGTGTTAATGGTAACAAGAATGAAACCGACAAAGTGACTTCTTACAAGTTGTAAGTTTGGGATCTGGTATGATTAAGAATAGATGGCATCCAGAGGGTGCAATACAGTCTTGACTTATTACTTTTGCTTTTTGAAAGACTTGATCAATTAATAACAATGGATTAAATGAAGTTCAGTGTTTTGACCAGTAGAATCTCCGATCTTCTATTGTTGAAGGCAAGCAAGGATTTGAACTGGGAGATGACCACCTAAATGTTTTCAACTTGGGATTCCACTAGGATTTGATTACTGCATATTCTTTCTTATAAATCTACAAGCATCACAATGAGAATATATAGAGCTCAGAAGTCAAAACTGATAGAAAACTTCACTTTGTTTTCAATTCCTGCAGTAGAAAAAAAAAAGATACTTATGGAAGATTACCATAATTTTTTTTTTACCCAACTTTTTCATGCACATGCATACATTTATATAGATGCATAAATGTATGAATTATACATATACCTGCAGACATATATGCATAGTAAAATAGTACAAAGTGCTTATATTTTACCAGGTAGGGTTTATAACGGGAGAAGGTCACATCCACCCCTAACTGAATAACCTCAGTTAATATATATCTTATTAAGACCCCCAAGAAAAAATCCAGGCTATGAAATTGTTTGGCCAGACATCAAAGCAAACTCTCTCTCCCCTGTTGAGGATCTCACAAAACCTGAAAATTGATTTAGACAAAGCTGGGGAATTCAATCTCCCTCTATACCAAATGTGGAAAAAATCATCACATAAAATAATAATCTTTTCATGGAAGTGTGGAGTCCTTCCTTTCCTTCATAATTTTTTCTAACAAAATCAGTCATCATATTCATTGAGCAAGAAGTGTGTAATGAATGCCACTCGCTTCTTTTCTATTTCCATTTGTTCCGTTTTCTTTGCACCAACAGGGCTTGTGGCTTCTTCGTCAAATGAGTGTCGCAGAAAAAGCCGACCAAATATAGAAGCTGAAAGTGGAATAAAAAGATCAATCAATGTAATAATCTGAACATGATGAACCTTGATATGTGGGGATCATAAATTGAACAGTGAAACAAACAAACAAATTGAAAGAGAATCATTCCAGGTCAATTTAAGTCTGACATACTTCAGATACAAAAAGAAGTTTTTCTCGCTTTAGGAGAAATTCCTCAAGGTTTCTATTTTTTTTTTTTTTATCTCAAACAGATAATCTGCCTTAAAATCAAAAGATGCAAGAAAGTTGGTAATTTTTCTATCTGCCACTCCCTACTGACTTAAAATCAGGTGATAATGAAGTTTATTTAATAGCTATACATCAGGTGGGAGATCTGTAAGAAAGGCATGAATCAAGTACTATAAAAAATCATATTTCCTTATCACTTTAAACAAAGTTTTCATGGGTTAACAGAAATGTCTAAAGTTTTTACTTGTTCTAAATGATATAAATTTGGTCATGACTAAATAAAATTTACATATTTCAATACCTATAACAAGAAGATTTTATAGCACATAAGGCAAATGCCTTATGTGCTATAAAATCATCACAATAACCAAGTTAACATCATCAAATATTTCTGTATGTCTGCAATACCCTCATCATATTAGTAGGGTTTCATAAGTGACTCATTTCCTTTCTGAAAAAAGAAAAAAATATGCTTAATAAAGTAAAAGGTTGTTCAATACTATTGAATATTATGATATGCCTTAGTTCTCAGTTCTTTATATTAAAAACATGCAAATCAAGATGAGGGAAGAAAATAGCTGAAGGAGGTTATTTAACTTTACTGCAGTCTACTGTGTTCACCCATTTTGGGTGATGACATCAGGAGAAAACGGTAAGCAGGGTCAATCAAATGCATTCACTGCACATATATGAGCAAGGTTTCACATTTAACTATTTGAATGGAAAATTAGATTGTTCAGCTATGTTGCTAAAAGGATTACCAAAAGTAGTTGTAGAATAAAAATTATCAGATAAATATCAATATTGGTAGAATTATTAGAATTTGTCGAGATATGGAAAGGTTGTGTAAAATTCTGTTCATTAGTTTTTGTGGGAATAAATATTTGGTTACTCACCCAGAGTTTTGACATCCAACTGATTACTTTCTGAATATTCTAACAATTCTCGTAAAAATGCACAGATATACTTGAAAACAGTTCTGTGATGTTCAGGAATGGTGCTGAGAACCTGCAGAAAAAAAATGAATAAAAAATGCCCAAGAATTTCAAGAGTAGAAAATCAACGATATTTTCCTTTCAAGGAAATAGTTCTTAATAGAAAGCAATAAAACTACCACTGTATGCTTACATCAGTAAAATATGGAAGTTGGAGTGAAGTCAGCTTTTGGAGGATTTGTTTGCTCAGTGACCATAGCAAATCTCTAGGCTTGACTGTACCTTTCCACACCAGCATTTTTGAGCTGCTTCTATGAATGAGTTTCATTATTTATACAGATTCTATCATTTTTCTTCAAACAAAGCATTCTGATTTCTTGCATTTATTTTAATAGAGAATCATGCAATATATTAAAAACATTCTGTATAAAAATAATGCCATTTGAGATGCAATGTGAAATTTCATCCCTCTAAAGACATTATAGGCAAAATGAGTAGCAATAAAAGAAATAAAATTAACATTTTCTTCCTTGAAAATTTATGTACAAAGTACAAATCAGATGGACACATCATTTAACCTTTATTATTTCTTGACAAACGATTGCAATTTTATTTTTATTTAATATGACTTGAATATAAATTTGTTTGTAAGGCGTAAGTCACAGATTATATAGCCCATGTGTCTATTGCTCATAAAACGCATGTGTAGGATACCACAGCACTTAATAGTATTTGCTGGTATTTTAAGAAACATGATTCAATCAAAAATATCTTATGACCTATCTCAAATTCTTATCAACAATTGATGCATTGAATTGAAAAAAACGTTTACTAAATCAGTGAGCTTTGTTATAAAATTCTTCAAAGCCATTCCAAAAAACCTACTCCACAGCTAAGTATTAATTCCTTTTCATCAGTCTAGCCATTTCATATTGACTGCTAATTGAATCAAATTTTGATTCTCATCTAAAACAACTTCAACTAGGTTGAAATAAAGTGAATTTGATTGTTTTTTACAGCTTATCAACCATTTGCAGGTTATTCAAAGCCAGAAAATATTTTTAGATTGTAAGAATTTTTTTGAGATAATAATGATTTACTGATACAAGTTCACCTTTAGCTTTAGATTCATGCCTTTCCCAATAGTATTTGCACCTAGGTGAATATAACGGACTCAACTGGAATTGAAGTTATAAGACTGCCTACCTGCCCTCAAGAATAAAAACACCTATGTGATGTCATAGAAAATACAAGAGAATATATGCTGCACTCCTATCTATTACAGCAGGAAATATTTAATTTTTTTTATCTCCAGTAGTCAAGGTAAAAATACTGGCTTATGAAAGGGTCTTATCTTTGCCTATTGGATGCAGAATGATTTTGCATTAAAGATTCAGTCTGATTTTAGACAAAGTAAGTCTTCTATGAGTTTTTTTTTTACCTGTTTGCAGGCTTTACAGTTATTGCAGACCTCAAGGCACTTTTGGTGGACATTGTATGGTATTACAGGTTCTGGTAAACACTTGAGGAAGAGAATCAAGGCTCCAGCCACAGAATGGATGCTGCCAGGTAAAAGAAAGTCAAGGAAAATGAAACCCAGAACAAACAACAATGAAAAGACATTCCAGTTTTAACATCTTAGTACTTGGGGATAACTGTGAAATCTAGGGTTCAATGCTAAAATGCTCAGTTGTTGAAACGCCAACAAAAAATAAAATAAACTGAAATGAAATCATTAAGAGCGCACTTTTTGGGGATTCATTCAGGTATATTTAGGAATCAACATGTTTTACTCCCTGGCTAACATTATTACATATAGGAATGCTTTCAAGAATTTTACTAGTTTTTTCAGAGCTTTTTAGTAGTTATTTTATCTACAACATTACCTGAATAGAAATTCACTTCTGCCAAGTGAATTTACTGGTAGGGAAATACACAAAAGCTTCCTTTTTCTTTTAGTCTGTAAATATTCAAGATACGCATTCAAATAAACCTCATCAACACAAACAATGTATTTTGCTATTATTTACACATATCAGGTTATGTATAACATGCTTTGCCAAGATAGAATCCTGATAAACATTAAAAGCTCTCCTATCTAACTTTGGATAATACATCAATAAAACCCCATCAGATTACATAACAATATTCTAAACATTAAATGGATGGGTTCACATTATCAAACACAATCATTATTATTTCTTCATTAGCCATTGCCCCATTCTTCATAATGTTTAACAAAGTTGTACATTCAAAAAGAAAAAAAATGACCGTATATTATAATATATATATTATATATAGTACTGTCTCATAATAAAACCAACAATTTTAAAAACACCACAAAATCAACATATGACCAATTATATTTTGGACTTTAAATTTAGAAATAACTTAAAAAAAAATTACTTTGCTTCTTTTATGTGTCATTTAGTAGTTGGCATGTAGGTGAAGAAATGAGTTACATTTGCTATACACAGACTTGAAAAGGTCAATTGTTTTACCAAAAAATGGAATTGGCATGCAATCAGAAAATTCACCAAATTTCCATTTCTCTGAAGATCTTGGAACCAACAGAATGAGAGTGGTAAAATATCCTTTTGCACTTGACCACAAAAGAGCAGAATTTATAACAACTTGTTATGCAGTTTCTTGGTAAAGTTTAGGAAGAATTAAAAACAATGTTCAGAAAGCTTAAAGGACAGATGATTTCTGAACAAATGTAACATTAATTGCTTTAAATTATCTTGCATAAAAGTTAGAAAATCTGTTACACACTTGAATTTGCTTCAAGATGATCAAATTTCTGAATAAAAACTGGTGGTACAATGGTAGCATCAACAGGGTTTATGTTTGTAAACTGCATGTTTTTTTTTTTTGTTTTTTTTTTTAGCGTTTCACCCCAAGCAAGGCGAGAAGCCACTAGGGGTTACAGAAAATTTGGAGCAAGATCAGATAGGAGTGATAGAAGAAAGGATGAGGAGAAGGGTAGTGGATAGATCATGGCAACTGGAGATGTCGATAGACATTACATTTGAATAGCTGGAGATTATAGCTCTCCGGGAAACTGGAATAGGGAAGGGAGTTCCACAGGTGAGAGGAGCGAGACATGAAGCTATTGGAGTAGAAGAGACGGCTACATTTAGGAGTTTCGACAGTGAAAGGGTGAGATCAGGATGCCAGCCTCGTAGGTTGCTGAACTCATGAAGTCTGGGAACCAGCGAATGCAGCTCCTTGGAGCAATTGCCATGAAAGTATTTGTAAAACAGACAGAGAGAGGCGACGACGTGTCTGAGAAACTGACTGTAGACAAGATGCCAGAGCAGGGCCAAACACAAGCAATACCAAATCATCACTTACTATTTTATTAGTCAGTTACCAAGTCATTAGTAGAGATATGGCTAAGATTCCTCATCTGAATGAATACAAACATTGGTATACTGTTTAAAAGAGTCCCTATTAGACAACAATAAAGAAACTCAACCTTAAAATGAAGAAGCTTCAAGTAAACAAAAATTCCTCTTTCCAAATATTGTTCAAATCATCTTTCTGAGTTTATTAATAAGATTACTGCTTTAAGAAATATTCCTATTAAGTTACCTGATGATGTTGGCAAAAGTGTTAAAATAGCATATCCAAAATATATGATCAAGCAAATAAAAAAACAGCAAAGGATATGAATAGTTTCTGGCATGCCAGTATCCAGACAATCTCGTATTTTTTGAATTTCTCCAATGAGGCCACTTTCTTGGAAAAGACCCTCCTGTCGAGAAAAATGATAATTCAGCACTCAACAGATTTCAATTAATCAAAATTACAATGTTCATTTGTAAATTAAGTCAAATTATAAGGAAGTAAACCTGGAAAAAATACTAAAAGTTTAAACATTCTCATAAAGACATAAAAAAAAAAAATCCTTTTGGAAATATTTTAGAGTTATAAAAAGTAACAAGAACAGATAACAGGAAAGTGAATTTGTTTTTGTTGTAGATATTTAAACAGAACAAATGAAACTGTCATTTAGTAAATATAGTATAGTTCAAGTATCCATCTATACTGAATAAAAGACTTGAATGAAGCTGCTGTTATAATATCAATAAATTGATTTCCTATAGTTATAAGTATTGTTTCCATCAGAATCAAGCTATTCAAAACTGATTAAATTATAAAACACAACTTTACATTTTTTTAATAATGATCCACATAAATTTTTATACCAAAAGAAAAAAAAAATGAAATGTATAAGAAATATCTAATTTCCAGTCTTTGCTTTCAATTAAAAATTTAGTCATTCATGGGCATCAATGATCCTTTTAAGTAACATTAGTAATCTCCAGTAACTTCATAAAGCAATTACTAAAGGAAAAACAAAGTTGATTTCATTTGTTCCTGGTAAATTTCCAATGATAAAATACTACAAAAGTAGTAAATATATTTTCTAAGAGAGATCATTCAGTGATATTGCTTTTTCAAAGCATGTATTTTTTTTCTTTTTCTAGAAATTACAGTTACAAATAGTATCTGTCACTAAAAAATATATTTCCAAATAACAGAAAAGAGGTTGAGCTCCCCACCCCAACACCATGAGGAGTAAAAAATTCTCCAGATCCAAAAGTATAATTAATCAAAAATTTATGAAGGATGATTAACTGTTGTTAAATTCATTTTCACAATTTTTTTCAATTCATATGAAGCATGAGTAAAGTATCCAATGGTTCATGTTTTAAAAGAAGCCGTTTAGATCAGGGGTTTTCAAACTGTGGTCCGCAGACCACAGGGGATCCGCAAGGACAAGATAGGGGGTCCGTGGACAGCAAAATGGTTCAGTTAATGTTGATTTGATAATTGTAGATGTTAAATGACATTTAATATCACTTGCTGAACATTTTGACAAATATTTCTCGAAAGATGTTCCTGATAATATTGAAAATTTTGACTGGATCAGAAATCCGTTTAATGTTGAAATAGCTAATAGCATGCTCACAGGAAATAAACTGGAAGAACTAGCGGAAATTTCATGTGACAGAACTTTAAAAATAAGTTTTGTGCAGCAACAACTTTTGAAATTCTGGCTCACTGTAGCCTCCAAGTATCCATTGTTATCTCGAAAGGCAGCTAAGACTTTGTTACCGTTTGCAACAACATATTTATGTGAAGCAGGATTTTCGGCACTAACCAATCTGATAAACAAATACAGATCCAGACTTGCTCCAGAAAGTGACTTACATGTATGTTTATCAGTAATATCGCCAAGAATTGACAGTTTGTGCAAAGCCAAGCAAGCACATCTTTCTCACTAAGTGTGTATTAAAAAATCCTGTGTGTGTAAGTGACAATAAAATTATTTGTTATATACTATGACTGTTTTCATTTATATGTAAAATTAATATTTAAATATAACAAAATTTAATTTTGTTACATTTTGCAGCAACATGCAGCATTAATTTATTTGAACACTTATGTCTAAAGTAAGCTTTAAACTAGCTTTTATTGCATTAATGCAAAATTATATGTTATATTCAACAAATATTTATGGATAAATTTCATAAGTGTTTATAATTGGGTCCCTAAGGTAAAGCCTGAAATATAAAGTGGTCTGCAAGTCAAAAAGTTTGAAAACCCCTGGTTTAGATGACTTAAAACTTGTCAAAAACTCTTTCACATTCTGCACTTGATAAAGGGAGATAATTATATCACCTTAAAAGATTCACTTAATTGCATCATTGCGAAAATCGTTAAAATTATTTTTATCAACACGAATTAAAGTTTGCATCAGTTTTCATTTCTTCAAGAAAGCTGTTGACTAATTTCACTGGGAAAAATAGTTTCTCGCACATTTGTGATGAGGATGATGATCTTAAAAAGATTTTGATGGTTTTAAAAGACTAGACTACAAGTAATTTTAATGTATATTATTGAAAGATACTTTGTAACTATTTTTAAAACTTCCTGAAGCTACAGCTTTTGGAGATTTACTGGCACTTAAAATTTGCTTATTGGCTATTTCTTGTAAGTGTGAAGCAATTGCTGTAAATCTATGCTCAACCTAACAAGTTCCACCAATGCTCAATGGAAAAGCTGGTGGTAAATGTAGAATGCAAATTGCTTTTTAGCATTGCTTGATTTAGTGAAAACTGATGATAGAAGACATAAAAGGAATTTCAAAGACTTTTAGATTTTGCATCTAAAACTTCATAACTACATCACATTTGCCAATTTTTATCCATTGGGAAAAGCAGTGAATCTCAATATTTTTTTGTCTCTTATTTGTTGTTATTCTTTATGAAGTTTTCACTTTGAGAGAAGTCTCATTAGAACAATTCCTACTAATTTGTTTTTGCTTTATGCCAGCATAATGAATGAAAGTTTCTGTTGAAAAATTTAAACAAACAAATCTCCTCTTCTGTTGTTGATAAATCTACAAATCTGTCAGATAAAAAGCAAAAAGAATAGTTATCTCATTCTGTCTGAATTTTCAGGATACATTTAAAATGTAATGAATTATGAAAAAACTTATTACATTTTTTTCTGTTCCATTTAAATTGAAAAATTTTCAAGGTCAGGTGAATAAACCTTACAAAAGAAAAAAAAAGTAAACTTACAGAGATAGATTAACATTGACTTTGAAGTTCATAATCTATTGTGTTGGTTATTTTGACTCAGTGTTCTCCAGATAATGATTAATTTGAATGTTTTAATAAATAACAAAAATATATGAAAAAACCCTATTTTTATTTTTAACTAAAAGCTGTGACACTTACATACTCCAGAGAGAGAGAGAGAGAGAGAGAGAGAGAGAGAGAGAGAGAGAGAGAGAAAGAGCTCACTAGGCTGAATTAAATCTTATAGGTTACTTATAATGGTTATTAACCCCATAAATGTAGTAACTATTTGAAAGTAAAATCTACAATTTTAGGTTATTTTGGTTTCTTTTTAATGTTCATGAAGATAAAATATCTAGTTTAAATATTCATCCTAAACAACCAATGGACAATTGATTCACATTGATATAATTGTGTTAAAGATTATGATCTATTCAGATATTGAAGGACTAAAAACTATTAAACGACTTGATAAATGATACTTTGCTACTAATCAACACAACCATAAAATGTTAAGTACAACTATTTACAAGCCAGGCTTTTGTTCATAGATGTTTAATATTAGCAACATATTAAACTGTATTGGTTACAAAGGTGATAATTGTATTTATTTAGGAAATAACAATAAAAAATACTGGAAATTGAAACACAAATGTTTGATTTAATTACTTTAATGTCAGATATATATCATAAAATATTTTCCTTATTAGGTAAACTTTCCATCCCACAAAAAAAATAAATAAATACATACAGGAAACCCTACAGATGAAACAAACAAACAAAAAAGACAAATTATAATCATTCATAAAATTTGGAAGCATTTAAAAATAATGCTTTGAAAATTTATAAACCGATTTTTGTTGTCTATATTTAAATTTTTCTTCTTAAGAAAAATTATTTAAATAAGAAATTTATATTTTTCTTTAAATTGCAATTATTACAGGGAAAGAAGTACTGAAATGATTTCAGTATTAAAAAAAGGCAAGGATACAAAAGATATTCAGCCCTTAAAAATGAGCTTAACTAGTCACTGTTTCAAAATTAGCATAAAGGTCAGGAAAAACCTAGTCATAAAATTCTCTCAATATGGAAATGGTAACCATTAAAATGTTGATAAGGGGATTTAATCTCACTTGTGTTCGTCCAAACTTGTGAAGATGATCTATTAACCGCCAAATTTCTTTTGGCACTGCATAGAGTCGACCGCCCGTGGCTGCAATATCCACTTGCTTTAAACTACCTGGCTGTTCCTGAAAATAAAATACAATGAAAGAGTTACTTAGATTCTGTGGTTTTTCTTTTAGAACATTTCAATAGCTATTTTTTACAATCAAGTACAACTTTACAAAATAGAGAAAATCATGAAATAGAAAAAGATTGCAACATAGAAAACAATGCCATAATCATTAAGAAATTTATTAAATGAAAATACCAAACAAATTGGAATATAGAAATTTCACTTAGTAAGAAATATGAACAGATATCAAGCTAAATAATGAAATGTGATGTTCAAGAAATAATTTATCACCAAGTTGAATCTTGAGATAAAAAAAAAACAATTTTGTATTATGTGTCAGGCTAATAAATCTGTTTTGCTTTTACAATCTGGGAATAACCTGGCCAGTCTTTTATCATTTTGGCCTTTCAATAGCTGATACTAACAAGGGGTCATATACTCCTCATTTAGTAAAAGTTTATTCTTCTAGATGATGGGCTGCCATTCTAGGCTAAAGAGTTCCATCTACTCTGGTTTGTGATCAGAATTTTCTTTCTCTTAGGTTGACTGCTGGCCAAAGCTAATGAGCCTAATGTACTTGATAGCTGCAAGGCAGTGAAAGTTTGAATTTAGAGTTTTCATTCTCCTAAACTGGGTGCAATTTAAGAGAGTCTGCCTTGCTATTTCTCAGAATTAGAGAGAGAAAAACTCTTACCAAATCAACAAGTTGAGCTACAGGTACTTCTCTGATAGGTCGCTGCATCTGGATAAGTGCTTCAATGGAAGACCCAAAACTGGTAGGAATGAAGTTACCATTTATGGTAATGTGACTTGGAGTTAAGAAATATATGGCTGAAATAAAATACTAACAAGCCCAGACACATGAGTGATATGTACTTTACAGAGAATAATCAAATTTGTTATGATTTAAATAACTTCCTTTGTATTTTTTTTTTTTTTTTGAAGAAAACAGAATACAAAAAAAATTTTTTTTTTTTAGAAAAATCCAAGATATATGATTTCATATGTTTGATAGATGATAAGACACCTCCACTTCCAAATGACTCAAATTTCCCAGGTTTTATGTGTTTGCATGTTATTTTTTGTTCAATATATGTAAACAGATATTTAAATTTAAATTTTTTTTCAGTTATGAAAAAAATTGTTACAAAAATCACAGAAAGCTAAAGGAATTCAACAATTAAGTAAATTTAATAAGCTATATTTTTTAATCATTTCACCCAAAGTGAATGTGAAAGAAAAATACTATTAAGGGGAGAGAACAATAAAAGAACAGGAACTAAGACAAGATAAAGATTGATACTGAATTTAAATTTTTGAAAATCAAAGTTGATTGGAAAGCAAGAAGCTGGAAGAGAGTTCACAAGTATGAGAGAAGAAACTGTTAGTATAGAACTTACATTTACATCTAGCAATTTCAACTGTAAAATGACAAGACCTAGCTGCCAATCTAGTATTGCACTTAAATTCATAAAGAGGAAAGCTCCTCAGAAAAATTACCATAAAAGTATTTACAGAAAAGACACAAAGAGGCTACATTATGGCTGTGGGAAATTGACTGAAGTGATGATGCCAGGTCAGGATTGATAACATTGCAGATTTTTCTTTGGATTTTATGAAGGATCACTAAATACATAACAGAAGCACGAGACCAGATGTGTCAGCAATATTCAATGAATGGATGAATTATAGGTTTATAAAAGTGTAAGATCAATTCTGGTGAGAAAGATTGTCTAGCACAGTGAACCAACTTTCTTAGCAGCAAACCTAGCAATTGATTCAAATAATCTTTCCACTTCATGTCGGTGGAAAACATTAGCCCAAGAAGGTGCAATGACCCACTCTCCCAGAGGTTAGCATCAGCTATGCTAATGGGAAGCAAAAACATTTCCCTGAGATGATTAAAAGAGAGCAGTTTTGTTTTGGAGGTGTAAAAATTAATAAGCCATTTTTCACTCCATTTAATAACATATTGTAGGACATTTTTGAGATCAGCTGCCAATTTGACCTCATCAAACTTACCTTTAGGGCAAGAGTAAAGAGTTGTGTCATCAGCATAGATACCAAGTTGAAAACTGAGAAGATCAGAAAAATTAGGAACAATGTAGGTACAAGAATAAAGCCCTGGAGAACACCCACATTACTGTTAAAATATTTAGAAGCCATTCAAGATAAGTTTCATTTCGCAATTTGATAAGAAAGATTGAATCAGATCAAAAATTTGTCCAAAATTACACTTGTGAAGAAAACCAGCATGTCAAACCCAGTCAAATGACGGACTGAGATTCAACATTCTTATTTAAAGCTTGATAGACACTTTCAGTAATAACTGTTAATACATCTGCAGTTGTCATAGATAAAGCTATATTGTTTGATGAGGCGGGATGCTTAACCTTCATACTTGATTTAGTACTTTGCCAAAGAGAGGTAGAAAACTAATAGATCAATAGTTCAAAGGATCAGATGACTCATCAGTGTTCTTCAAAACAGGAAATACAGAAGAGGATTTCCAGCAATCTGGAAAGCAAGAAGCAGCATGGCATCTATTGTAGAGTTTAAAGAGAACAGGAGCCAGTTCAGAAGCACATTTCTTAAGGACTATTGTAGGGATGCTATCAAGTCATATCCTTTAAGGGGATCCAGTTTGCAGATGATAGCAGAAACCATGGCCTAAGTTATATGTATGTATATATATATATATATATATATCACACACAGTAGAGTCTAAGTGGATAGTTGAGGATACTCCAAAGAAGTAGAATTGGAAGAGACTTTATGAGCAAAACAATCTTTTAGCAGAAAATGATAACATCTCAAATTGAGTGAAGAGAGGATAGATAAAAGAATTACATTCATTTAACACACTATTGCAGAGAACTAAACTTGTTAGAGGTTATGCAGTGTCTCATTCTGTCAGCACACAAAGATTTAGCCTCTTTGAGGACATGTTTACAATTATTAAAAGTGAACACAAAAAGAGGCTTGTAATCAGTACTATCACATTGGTACAGCTGGAAAAAGTGATTCCTATGGGCTATAGTGGCTTAACAGGCAGGAGTGATTTCCACTGGTATTTTCATGAAGGTACAAAAGTATCGATGCCAACTTTTATTCAACAAGAAACCTCAGTGACACAATTCTCAATAGAAAGGTTAAAAATTTTACTCCAAGGGGCATCACAAAGAAAATCACAAAATGAATCCCAATCAGTACACTGTAAACAGAAAGTCTTGTGGATAGGGGGTTCATGTCTAATAGCTGACTCAAAAGAAATATGAATAGATACTACAGCATGATCCAAACAGAGTTGCTATGCTTGTCAAAAGCCAGGGGGTAAGGAACAAATCAAATAAAGAAGCATGTAGTATTATTAGGGGAAACAAGTAGGGAAATCCATTATTTGACTGAGAAAGAGAGAGCCATTTTTATATTCTCAGATATTTTGTCTAATATATTACAGTACTGAGAAGGAGAGTGATAAAGGAAAAGGAGATAGCTAACAGAGTGCAATAAAGAAAGTAGAAAACACATAAAAGAATCATCTGGAATCTTTCAAGTGCTTTCTACTTGCCACTGGAAGATTTTCCTGGATGTAAACACCAAGGCAATGTAAAACTCTTTCCAACAAAGTTAACCTGAAGCAGAGACTATTATTTTAATTTTTAAGGTGAAAAAGGCCTAAATAATTATCACTATCTATTGTCTATGGAAATACAAACTGGCTGGAAGGTGGCTAAGACTAAAGCATAATGTGGTCACAGGGTTGCCCACCAAATGTACTTGCAAGGACAACTATCCATGCACTATTTGGCACTGCAAATATCTATTATGCAACTATTGACTAGAGCAGCCTCCTTGCTTCCAGTCAGGATTCAGTAACCAGAAAACTGCCAATTTGGTACTCTCAAAATGAAAAGTCACAGCCACTAATCAGTTCTTTCTTTCTATGTGCCGTGTCCACTCTGAATGTAGGCAATCAAGGTTCTCCACCATCCTCTATCCCTTGCAGCTCTCAACAAGTTTCTTCCCTCTGCCACCTCCACCCAGACCACATTTTGTCATCCACTTGCTTAAGACCACTAAGTATGTCATGTGTTATTTTCCCTTGTTTCTCTTTCCCTCTATTCTGTTTTCTTGTAATTTATGCTTAGTCCCTTCTTCACACTCTCTGTTGCTACCTTCTGTAGGAGATTTTGTAATTTCTTTTCTGTGTCTGCTATCAGTACTGTGTTGTGTGTATATTATGTCGTTAAGATTGTGGCCGCTAATGCTAAACCCTGGTATGGTTTCCAATTCTCTCAGAATTGCCTCGCTGTATAGGTTGAACAGATCGGGTGAGAAGACGCATCCTTGCTTTATGCCCCTTTCTATTTTTGTATATCTGCTGAACTCATTCTATACACTCATGCATGCTGTTTGCTACCAGTATAGGGTTTTCATTATTCTGATATCTTTCCCAAATATATCAAGGTTGTTGAGCAGTTCCAGCAGATCTTTATGGCATATTTTGTCGAAGGCCTTTGATAGTCTATGAAACAGATACACATCGTCCTGCATTTGTATCACTCTTCCTGATAACATTCTGAGCATGAATAGGGCATTCATTGTTCTGGTGTCTTTAACAAACCTGCACTGTTCTCATCCTATCTCTGGCCTGATTCTGCTGCGCACTCTATTTATCAGAATACAGATGATGAGTTTTGTCACGTGACTCATTAGGCTTATTGTTCGGTGGAATTTGCATTCATTTGCACCTGGTTTCTTAGGCATTGCTATGAAGATAGATCTGCTGAGGTCTTCCAGTATTTCCCTGCTGTTGTAGATTTCATTTGTTATTTTAGTGATCTTGTCTATGCCAAAGTCATCTAAGGCTGTCAGCATTTCCATTACAATTTCATCTGGCCCAGCTGCCTTATTTCTGTTCAATTTGGCCAGTGCTGCTTTTACTTTGATTTTCAGAATTCCATGTTCGTCAATAGTTCTGTGTATTACTAGTTGTTCTCTTTCATTGTGGAAGAGTTCTCCAATATACTTGCTCCAGTGTTGAAGAATTTTTCCTTCTCTATTATAAGAATTCCATCCTTTGATTTTAAGCAACCTGCTGACGAGCATGTCTTCTGTCCTGTTAGTTGCTTTATTTGTTTGTGCATAGATAAATCACTAAAAAGTTTAATCAGGTATTCCGTATTTATTGCATCAATGACTGAATTTATTTAAGTTTATTTATAAAAAAAAAAAAAAAAAAAAAATGGGTAAATATTTATCTTTTATATAACTACTCCAGACTATGAAGCCTTAGTAAAATGTCGACTGACCTTAATAAGCTTTACATATTTTAAACAGTGGAGGTTAAATTTAGCCCAAAATTGGAAAATTTGAAACTGCAAAATAAAGTAAAATAATACTTTGGCAACATTTTAGTTTTACTTGTACACTTTGACTATGAAAGAAAAATATTCAAGTTAAAATATTAAAATTTTCAAATATTTAACTGAATTTTTAAGAAAAAAAAAAAAAAAGACAACATCTGACTTGACTCGTTAATGATTGATAATTATAGGTAGATTAATCAATAATTATTATCCATTGTAGCTTTAATAGAATTTCTAGTTAACAAAAAAGAAAAATGTATAAATTTAGAACACAACCAAATTATTTCCTCCTGTTACTACCTTGTCTAGGAGTTCCTTCAGTTTTTTCTAACATCTGTAGCTCTTACATTGTTAAGATTTTGCTCACTGATAAAAAATCCTGGTAGGACATTGTCTCACTGTAAAAGTTAAATAAATTCATTGAGAAGATGAATTCTTGTATTTTGGCCCTTTTCAATTTATTATGTACTTGCACAATTCCTTTTTTATCCAAATGCAGGTTGTTTGCTCCCATTAAAATTCTAATATCTACCTCAAATAAATCAAGGTTTCTTAACAGTTCAAATAAATCTTTGTGTCATACCTTATCAAATGCTTTTGCCTTATCTACGAAATATAGATATATGGCCACTCTTCAATCCAGAAAACCAATGGCATTGTACAGTGGTTAGTGAGCTAGGCTTACAAACTATTTCTACTATAATGAATTCAATCTTCACTGGGCATTAAACTAAATTTCAATAGGACCAAGACAGATATAAAGGATATAAAGCAGTCCTTTCCCCCGTGAAGATGTAGCACCAATATATCATCTATGGTATCTTCATTACTGTTTAGTTTACACACAGATGTTTCATTCACTTTGACCTCGAGTTCTATTTCTTGAAGGTCACCTGCAAATAAACAGCAAGCAAAAAAATATATATATATATATATATATATATATATATATATATATATATATATATAAATATATATATATCCTTCCATCTGAAGTTAAAATTATACTAGAAACCTGATATCAAAAAACAAATTTATGCTAACAACAAAAATTTACAGAAGCAAGATTAACAATTGGCTTGTTTTAGCAGTTTTTCAGAGTCAGTGTGAATTATTCAGAAAGTTAAAAGCATGAATTATACTGGAAAAATCACCATCAATAGCATCAGTTTTAGGAAAAATAAATAACGGGAAAAAAAATATATCTCCATAAGATTTGAAGGTGCAATGCAAGATAAATCATAAGTTTTCATAATTTTAACAGGACCAAAAATTGAAAGAGTAAAAAAAGAATTATCTTCATTTCTTTTTTTTTCTTTTTTTTTTAAGAATGTTGTATATTAATTGATTCATGTTAATGTTGTGATCCTTGGTATGGCTTTAATTTGCTATTACAAGTAATGTATTAAGTTGAATAAAACCACTAAGTGGATATTTTATCTTTTTGTAATTTATTTTTTATTCTAGAATGCTAAAAGAAGAGGCAATTGAACCTAATGAGCCTCCATGGAGGGTCAAGGTGCTGAAGATCTTAAGAGCTTAGTAACAGATTTCTTTCAAAAAGATAAACTGTTTCCCTTTAATGGATGCATATCTACTTCCACACACTAATGTAATGATTGAAAAAATGTAGCTATTTTCAGTACATTGAATTTTCATAGTGTGCACCAACAGGTTGCCATCAAGGTCAAAGATATACTATACATGGCATTTGAGGTTATCTATAATTGTTGGAGGTACCATATCTTACCAATTTCACTGAATTCCTTTTGACATCTATGATTAGCATCCATTTGTTTATAAGTGAAGAGCTACCTGTACATGTGGAAAAGCTATATCCACCTGGTTAACCACTCGGGGTTGTATGTTCCTCTACTGTCAAGTATCTAAAAACAAATATGACTCTCTTGTGAATTAGGGTGAGTTAATTGATATAAATCTTACAGATCTGCATGTTAGGCATTCATCACCTGGCACCAAAAGAGCATGAAATCCATGACTTCATTGAGCCTGTTACTAAAATAGAAGTTAAACACATTAAGAATATGAAATCTTATGATATACAAGGACAGTGTACATTAGATTTTACATCAGAAAGAACAGGAACATTATATTCCAGCTTAAAAATTAATATCAGATTATTCAGAGATTGGTCTGACAGAACAGCCTAGTCTGCAATGTTCAAAGCACTCTGGGCACCAGCCTTGACATTTAAGAGATTACTCCTTGTAGTTTGTTATAACTTCAGGTTATTAGTTTTGTTTGTACTGTGTAATAAAATAACAAGTAATTATTTCCCTTCATAAACATCTGACACCTCAAAATGTATTTATTTACTGTCTAGTACATAAAATACCTAGGGGAGAATGTTGTATATGAATTGTTTCTTGTCAGTTTTGTGACCTTTTGTGTAGTTTTAACTTGCTGTTACAAGTATTGTATTTCTATTGTTTTCAGATATGCTTTAAGCTGAATAAATTTTATCTTCTTGTATTTATGACAACATTATAATTACATAAGACAGATGATCTTTCATATTTGGATTTAATGCTAAAAAGTTCAAAACTTTGTCTTAGATCTCTATATGGCAAACCCAAAACAAATCAGTGTATAAAGGACAAACATCAATCAAAATTTACCTGGCATCAAAACAGCTTTGTATGGAGATACCTTCAACCATGGTTTGCAGAAATTGCTTCCCTGGGCTTTCTTTATAAATTCAAACTCAACTGGGCCCTAATCAGAATGAACAATTTTTGTTACTATATAAGTTTTATTTTAGAACAGAGAAGAAAAATTCAAGTAAACATCCAAATTCACTGCATATAATAAAACCTAACAATTTCAAAATATACAAAATATGCTTCCTACAAAAAACATAAAAGAAAAACTTGTCAAAATTATACATCCCTAAACATCAGTAAAGGGTGTAAAACAAGTTGCTTACTTAAGATTAGTGTTTCAACATTTCTAATTAGAAATAAATAGGTAAAATTTTGTTCAACTGTGCGTCAACTTTTGTGGGTAGTTTTATGACTAGTAGGTATTTTTCTGGCATTTTTTCTGGGAATATTTACAGAACTTAAAACAATTGGTCAATTATTTTAGAGCATCATTTTACTTATGATTATTGCCACATGGTGCAAATAATAGTCAGTGTATTATTTAAACAAAATAACCATAAGCAATCAACAGTGGCTTTTTATTATAAGTGCACCAATCTCTGTGGTTCTCAAACTTTTGACATCAGTAGCATTTGAGGGGTTAGGGATGTATGCCTCTAACTTTGCTAAGGTGTACCCAATTTTGATTTCAAATAGAGGCTTTGGTAAATTGAAAGTTCAAGTACTGATTGTGGGTGTGTCTTAATTTTTGTCAAATACTGTCCATTTTAACTGTCTGTTTTCAACTTCTTCAACACCTGTATAAGAATTGTTTCATTTGTTATCCATATTGGGGTCAAAATGGATGAAATAATTTTCTTGATTTTAAAAGGAGATAGTTTTGCAACTGGTCTTTACTGAATTGATTCTCATACTATGAATTAATTTAAGTTTTTTTGCTCTGTTTCATTATTAGAACTTGATTTCATGTGGGGCTTTGTTGCTGGTTTTAGTGAAAATTTTACTTTTCACCATTCTTGTTCCCCACCCACCTGGTAGATGTCTTTTTGTGGTGGTGGTGAACCCCAATTGCTTGGATATAACAGGGATATAAAAGTGTTATATGCACTTTAGTTAGTAGCTAAAAGCACCTGCAGTCCTTTCATTTCTTCACACTAAATTGGCAAAGCATAAAGGAGACTACAGCCATATTGAAGATTTTCTTTCCCAAGGTGATTGACCAATGTCACCAGCCTAAAGGGTCAATTGCTGATTTTGTTGTCATTTCATATGTTAATCTTACGAAATTGCCAGTGTATTTTTGATGTGTAAGTTCCTGACGAGCTGATTGATCTCAAATGGATCACTCTGACCACCTGTCTACTCCAAGTACAGGCCTAAGTGGATTGTTGCAAATCAATAATAGATTTGCCTATCATCTCATCCATACACCTCCCCATTCTTTTGGACAGGAGTAATAGTTTATCCTTTGTTTCCTGTTTACAATTGGGTTTCTCCGGTTCCTTCTAAAGTTTTCTCTGTTTCTTTCACTCAGAGTAGCACATTGTGTCTTAGTGGCAACAAAACTATTTTAATTAGAACAACTGATATTCTGAATACTGAAATGATTATGAAAGCAAAACTCTTTTCTCCCTTAAACTGAGAAGCAAAAATTTTTTTTAAGAGCCCAATGTCCCCAAGAATGACATTTTAAAAAGGACAAGTTTTTTTGTTTTTTTTATACTTTTGACCTGTTTCTAAACACAAATAAAATTTGATCAAAATATATGTGTTTACTTTTTTAAAATATAAAAAAATTAATTATTTTTTAACATTATTTGACAATAAATTTGGCCAAAATTTTCTATAAACTGAAAAATTTACAATTATTATCCAAATTACAAAATCAAACTTCCTGAAGAGAGAATTTTTTTCTTATAATTAATTTCTGGATCAAATTTATTTTCTAAAGAATTAAAAAAAAAAAAAAAAAAAAAAAAAAACTTAGATTTATTTTTACTTTTTCAGAATTAAATAGCTTAATATTTTTTAATGTCCATCTCCATTCCACACAAAAAAAAAAATGAATATGAAAACTATTTATTATTGGTTTATTATTATTTATACTGTTTAACTATGGGAAATAGAATTTCATCTAATCTTACCTGCCCAATATTGGCTACAATTAATTTTTGTTTCTGGGATTCATAAAATTTGACATCTTCAAAGGTGAACTGTAAATAGAGAAAATAAAATTATTAAAAACCAATATTCATTAGCAGAAATTGATATTCTACAAAACTGTAAATCTAGTTAATTTTCAATTGTTTCTGGTTTGCCTTGTGAAGTAAACATTGAATAGATATTAATAAGCAGATTGTTAAAGAAGTGACATTTTTTTCATTTTCAACATTTCAAATTTGTGATAGTTTTTAAAAAAAAAATAAAGATTTTAGTTAAATTTCATTATTAGTTGGGCTGCTGTAGCCAATAGTTTTTATTCTAACTCATGTATGCTCATGTATGTATAGAATTGGCACAGTCAAAATTAAATAGAGTGACATATTTTGTAAACTGCATGACTAAATGAAATTTAAATTGTTAGCAACAAATCTAGGGAAACTGCTTAACAGCCTATAACACAATTTCTCTACCAATCTTGAACATCATCTGCCTTGGATATTATTTTTATACAGAAAATCATAATCATTATCTATTAGTAGCAAAAGAACTAAGGCTTATCCTATTTTTTACTGGTAAAGGAACTGACAGTCATACTCACATCTGTGGTATCTATCTTCACTTGTGGCAGATATTCATTCTCAATTCTGTCTAATCGTTTCATAATGTCTTCATAAACCTTCTTTGACTTCTCTTGGTCTATTACTTTCAACTAAAAGATAAGAAAATGGAAATTGATGAGGAAAACAAATTTGTGCCATTCTAAAAGACTTTATTGGTTTATATCAAGTTAGGGTTAGGGAATTTTTTTTGTATAAGTTCAATGAATCAGCAGGAAAAAGTTTATCAAAGAAAAATGAAAATTAATACATATTTTAAAAAATAGTACCATTATTTTTTGTTATAAATGCACTCATTCTTTTCAGTTATTAATATAATTTTCATCTTTAACAAATTAATCTGACCACATTGAATTGAATAATCTAAAAATATCAATCATTCAACATCAAGTTGATGAACAAAGTTAAATATGGAAATTCAAAATTGATATTAAATAAAACATAAATAAAGAAGTAATTAAATAACTTAAAAGATTATCAAAATTAAATAAAATGATCTAGTAATGTTTTTCATATAACTTAATATTTATGCTGTTTAAAAGAATTCTAATTAGCAAATAGTTAAATGTCAAGCTTGGTTTCACTGAGTTTGGAAGGTGTTGCATTGTATTGTTCTATGACATGTGATCAGTAGTCAACTTCTGTCTGTCTCTTACTTTACTATACACTTTATATTTCTATTTAACATATGCAAATAAGTACAATCCTATTTGCTAATCCACTACACCTCCTTGAACTGAAGCGGTTTAATGCCTTTGGTTGTTCTCAAACTTCTACAACCTCTTTTTTCCTCTCCACCTTGAAGTTTATGTCCTGTTCTTTTTAATGGAGATACTGGTCTCATTTCATCATGATCTGTATCTGAGTCATTTTCGCTATCATCTCCTATTGCATTATCCTGATCTGAAGAACTCAGCCTTTATTTTTTTTTTTACAATAGGTTTTTCTGCAAGTATCCCTTTTAAATCTTTGAATGCTAATCTTTTGAAATTTGGTACCCTAAATATGATATTGTATTGCAATCAAATTTACATTTGTCTCTGTTTATTGTCATCTCTGCATTTTTTAACTTATTTAACACATTGCTCTCTCTAAAAAAAAAAAAAAAAAAAAAAAAGAAAAAAAAAAAAAAGAAAAAAAGGGCACTTGTCATTTTTCACTCCAAAAGACATTTTTGTCCATCTTAATAATCCTATGGGGATGTTTATTGTGGTAATTTCTTTGAATTTGTATTTGATTGTAAGCTGGTTTTAAATCAATCTTTGCAAAACATTCCATGCCTGATAATTTGATAGCAGTTTCGATATTGGGAATAGGAAAAGAATCAGGACATATTTTATGATTTACACCTATTTTAAAATAATCACATATTCTTAAATCTCCATCTGCTTTTTGCAAGACTACAATAGGAACATGTTCTACCATTTTCTTTAATGTAGCAACTACCAAAGGTAGAAGGTGAATAGGTAATTTATGAGACTCAAAATTGGTGGGGGGGGGGCACTATTTTCATTTGATTGTATACTTGCTTTATACCCCTTTAACACTCCTGTTTTTACTTTTTCTGATTTTACGTCACTGATTTATTTCAACATATCCACCTTTAGAACATCTACACCTAGTAGTCTATCTTTTTTCTTTTATATACATTTCACTACTGTAAAAGGTATAATTTCAAATCACACACAAAAGTTCTATTGATTTGTTTGTTTAAAAGCATTCCACCCTTAGTGGTCACTTTATGCTGAAAATGATTTTTTTTTTGTCAAAAAACGTATAGCTGGCAACATTGTTTTTTTTTTTTAAAAACCCACAGCTGGCAACATCATTCTTCCAAAAACGTATAGCTGTCAACATTATTTTTTTCAAAAACGTATAACTGGCAACATTATTTTTTTTTTTTTAAAGACATCATCCTTTCACAGTGTTTTGACCCCAGTTACAATATAGCTGGTAATATTTTTCTTTTTTTAAACGTATAGCTGGGAATATTATTTTTCAAAAACGTATAGCTGGGAATATCATTTTTCAAAAACACACTGCTGGCAATATTATTCTTTTGAAAATGTATAGCTGGTAATACTACTTTTCCAGAACCATATAGCCGACAACCTTAATTTTTCAAAAATGGTCTTTTTGTTGGACGTAGTTTATCGCCATACCTAATATGTGGATGTAGTTTATCGCCATATCCAGGACGCGGATGCAGTTTGCTGTCATAACCATGGACGCGGATGCAGTTTGCCATCATACCCATGGACACGGATGCAGTTTGCCATCATGCCCATGGACTCGGATGTAGTTTATCGTCATACCCAGGACGCGGGCGAGACTGGGAGTTCACTATTTGCCCATAGCTGGGACCCTAACAGGTGCTACCATCCTGGGTCAGGGTGGACCTGAGAACATCAGCAATTAAGAGGTGGTTCCACGCTCCTCAGAACTTCCTGATCAGAGGCCTTGCTGTTAGATGCAGTTTAACGTCGTACCCAGGACGAAGTTCTATTGAAGTATCTTAAAGTTTTTATAAAAGCTCTATTGTCTCAGTTTGACTTTTTCTGAATTTCAGTTTACCCATTTGTCACCAAAAATTTCTTGGGATCAGAGTGACTTCATTCCCCATATCCACTAGCATTGAAAACACCATCTGTCTATATTTCTGAGATGAGGTATTATCTACACTATTTACATTGTTCAGACCATCATCCTCATCTTTGTTGCCATATTTATCACAATGTTTACATTTGGTTGGAATGTTGAACTGAAACCTTTATTTCATTCGCTGGAGTAGACTGTTCTAGTTCCACGTGCCATGTCTAATGGATGTCAGTTATCTCCTGTTAATTCCCCTCTCCAAGTTCTCCAGGTATTGAACTCACACTCTTTGGGTCCTGTCACTGGATCTAACTAATGCCTTTATCCACTGTGCCATGTGCCCTTGGGGACATCTGTGTATGAATTTCTGGGTATCATAAACCTAATGTCTTCAGCAATCATTTTTACCAGTACTCATATTGAAATTTTTGCTTTTTTTAAAGTGATTGAAATACAAGAATTCGCAAGATTTTTACAGCAAAACACCTTCGTCATTTCAAACAGATATGTGGATACACAAGGATTAATAGCAAATTAGTTACTACAATAGTAATTTGGTGACGTAAAAAAAAAAATTATTAGAAACAACCAAAAATTTGCTACCAAAAGTCTACAGCGTGAGAACACGAATAATATTGTCAATTATAGTTGAAAATACTGACACCAAGGGTTTTGAAAAAAAAAAGCGGTTCACTGTTTTTTTGTTTCTTTACAAGAAACCAGAGTTTTTTTTGTCACGGTAAGATTTTTTTTTTCTTTTTTCTCCTCTTCAAAGTTAAATGATTTGTCGAGTGAAAAATATATATTCATATTTGTGCTTAACAAAGACTGTTAAAAATTCGAGTCATATTTGTGCAAAACCACAAAGAGGTTGGAAAAAATTTTTTGACTTTCCCATTAGTCGACACTCCTTAAAGCGACGGATTTTTTTTTGTTTTACGAGAAATACATATTTCTTGTTTGTGTATTAGTTGAGCAAACTAATTTTAGTAAGCAAGCCTTGGGAAAACTGATTTGTTTAATACAAGTGTAAACTGTATGGTGCGTAAATTGAATTCGTACCATGGACGCAGAATTAAGAGAGTCTCTTCTTCAATTGTTCAAATTTCAAACGGAACAAAGTCTTGCATTGCAAAAGCAACAACTTCAACGACAACTTGAAAGTGAGGAAAAATTTAAAAAAGAGTTGTTGGAACAACAGAAACGCGTCGAACAAATCTTTATGAAAACACAGGAGGAACAGAGGAAACTTCTGGAGGCAACACAGTTAACGAATGCAAGCGAGAATCATAACGCATTCTCCCAGATGGCTGTGTGGAACGCTATTGAAAGTTTCAATTATAATCCAGAAGACGATGTCACGTTTGCTCATTTCTATAGAAGATATAAGGATATTTTTGTATCGGATTGCGGTACATGGACAGACGCTAAAAAAGTTAGGTTTCTGCTAAGAAAATTGGGAACTGCCGAGCATACAAAGTTCGTGAATTTTATCCTTCCAAAAAAGACCAGTGAGTTGAACTTTCAAGAGACAGTTACTCTACTAACAGAACTGTTTTCTACAAAAACTTCTCTTTTTCACAGGAGATATAAGTGTATGAATGTCACTAAAAGAGAGGAAGATGATTACATGCTCCAGAAAATATTGCGTCTCTACAAAGTTTCTTCGGGTTGGCAAATTATTACAATGTATTCATGCCAAATATGCATAAACTAAGATCACCCTTAAATGAATTGTTAAGGAAGGACCAAAAATGGGTCTGGACGCAAGAGTGCGAAGAAGCATTTCAGGAAATTAAAGATATATTAATGTCTGACTTGTTTCTGACACATTATAATCCCAAGCATGATATTATAGTTGCAAGCGATGCCAGTGCCTATGGCATAGGAGCATGCATACTACACAAAATGGATGATGAAAAAATAAAACACATAGCCCATGCATCCCGTTCACTTTTACCAGCTGAAATGAACCACTCGCAAATCGAGAAAGAGGCGCTAAGCATTATATTCGCAGTAAAGAAATTTCATCGTTTCTTGCACGGTAGACAATTTCTGTTACAAACAGATCACAAACATTTACTAACGATTTTTGGATCGAAAAGGGACTACCACAACATACGGCGAATAGACTCCAAAGATGGGGGTACCATTCTTCTGAATTATAATTTTCAAATGGAATATGTACCATCTAAAAAACTTGGTCATGCAGATGGCTTATCAAGGTTAATACCTAAGCACACAAAAACCATTGGAGGATATGGTAATAGCAGCCATTCAAGCGGAAGTTGAAGTAAAAATACTTTATGTGACACGATAAGAGAACTTCCAGTAACGCTTGATGAGATTAAGAATAAGGCAGAGGTGGACGAATTTATTATAAGCACGAAAGAAAAAAATCAACAGTAACCAACTGGATGAGGAAATTTATTCAATTTGTGATAACGTCCTGTTATATAGCGACAGGGTCGAATTCCTATGACATTACAGAAAAGAATGCTCAAGGAATTCCATGTAGGACATCCAGGCATATCAAGAATGAAAAGCCTTATGCGCTCTTTCGTTTTCTGAGTCAGAGAGTGTAGAGGATGCGCATTAGCTATGAAAGCTCCTCTGACACAATTCGGATCGTGGGCAAAACCGGACCAACCTTGGTTGAGAATTCACTTGGATTTTGCTGGACCGTTAGATGGTTTCTACTATCTCATTGTTATAGACAGTCTATCTAAGTGGCCAGAAGTACTGAAATGCAAGAATCCCACATCCGAGGCAGCTATTAACTTCCTGTATGAACTATTCGCTAGGTTTGGAGTTGTAGACTGCATTGTCACAGACAATGGAACGCAATTCACGTCTACCAAATTTAAACATCTCTTCGAGGATTATCTAATCGAGCATATAACCATTCCACCATACCATCCAAGAAGCAATGGGCAAGCGGAGAGATTCGTGGATACGTTCAAGAGAGCCCTGAGAAAGGCTAGTGGATCATCGACGGATAAGTCAATCCAACAATTCTTACAAGTTTACAGGGTCACTCCGAATGCAAACATCGAAACGTCGAAGACATCTGCTGAGGTCATGTTCGGATGCAAGGTTAGATCAATTTTCCACAAGTTGTTACCAAACCAGGATAGGCCAAACCTCAAAGAACCAATAACAAAAAAACGGTATAAAGTTGGCGAAAGAGTTTTCTACAAGATGCATAGAAATAATAGGACCTTTTGGGAGTCCGGCACTATTGAGAAACAAATAGGCAACATGGTCTATATGATTAAGGGACCAGATTTCGTGCACAAATGTCACACTAACCAAATCCGGAAAAGATACTCGAACAGTGAGGTGACCAGATCGCCCGAGGAGGACATCATGGACACAGTGTTTGATACTTTTCAGGTGCCCATACCAGAGACAGCTCCTGAGAATAGGAGGTAAGAAAGAAAACGGAAATCAACAGAGTTGATTAGGGTGAACCCAAAACAAAAACATTATTAATTCCCAGACGGGATATTTTCAAAGGGGGGTGTTGCACCGGCCTCTAACACAAGGGAATTACACTGGTTCTCACTATATATAGTGCCAGTAATACCTATCCGGGGTAAGCAGCAACAGTACTACAACTGCCTAGCTGAGCAGTACCCGTTTCCTACCTTTGTATCTGTGATATTGGATACACTTGTTCTTTAAACCAACTTCGACTTGATTTACTTATTTTTATTATTGTGCCACGACACAACAGGATGATAGTCTGAACAATGTCAATAGTGCCATACGATTTATTTTAATTTTTTCAAAAGAATTTTTTATTGGGTTTTTGTATTGAAAAAAATAAATCAAAACAAAACGTCAGCAATTCTCTCTTTTTCAGTTTTTTTATATGGTCTATTTTCTTTTTACCTTTGCATACAAACTAAAAAAATTGTTTTTTTTTTTGGCAGTTATGGCAATTTTTTTTCTTTTCTGTCAATTTTATGCTCACAGTTACAGTAATTGCATTTCTTGTGCTCCTTTTATTATACTGTACATTTCCACATTGTCCTCTGTAGAATTATATTTTTTTTTATCAATTCCAGCTGTGGTATAACTTCCACACATGCAGTTAGAGACCAATTATCCAATATCTTATATTTATGAAATGTATCAGTCATACTTTCAATCAATTGTAATTGAATCAATTCATCCTTAATAGTGAAAACTTGAGTTCCAAGTTTCTGAAATTTGAAGAATCTGCTAGCTTCTCTTAATCTGTGAAGATATTGCATGATTGTTTCATCTGGTTTCTGTTTAATGAACAGAAATTTGGTTCATTCTGCTAAGACAAGTTTCTTTTTAGGTTGTAAACTTCTTTTTATATTTTCTGAAATTTCAATGAAAGTCAAATTCTCCAATTGTTTGTAGGTATATCATAACAGAAATTTTCATTACAGATTCCCAAACTGCAGATGCTAGAAAGTAGTCAGTTATTTCATTTTATCCCATTCTTGCCTGGTTGTCTTTCAATTTTTTAGCCCTAGCATGGGCTGCAACACTCCAGATCCAAGTCTCAATAAATTCTGGTTCATCCAAGCAACTTAAACATCCTATTAGCAATGCCATATTGTTGTATTGTGTTGTTCTATGACATGTGATCAGTAGTCAACTTTTGCCTGTCTCTTAATTTACTATACACTTTATATTTCTTTTACTTAACATATGCAAATAGGTACAATCTTATTTATTTATAATCAACCACGGAAGGAAAAATAATTTTGAAAAAAGAATGGAATCACATTTAATAATGTTTTTTACAGCATGCCACAAAAAATCATGAGAATAAAACTTTAAAAAATAATATCTGCAGCTTAAAGAAAAAAAAAAATTAAATTAAAATGTCTTTTTGTAAGAAAAGTATTGCATAGAGATATGACAAGTAGAATTCTGAAAAGGTTTTATTATGCCTAAAATTTGTTGGGCAGAATATCTTCATAATAAATAAAGATCAGAAAAATATATTTTATTAATTTTTTTTTTTTTTTTTTTTTACACAGCTTACCTCTTTGCATAAAAAACTATCATACAATATTTTAAATATTTTCTTTCACTTTGTCAATGCATCTGAAAATTTGAAAAGAGAATACCTACTCACCCCAACACTGAAAACAGCACTGACAGCTTTGTGATCACTTATCTTCAGTTCATTGTGAGATTGGTAAGAATTTTGGCACACACAATTACCTTTCCATAATATTCTGTCACACCAAGCAGGAATTCGAGATTTTTCACTGCAGAAAATAATGGAGCCACAATATACAAGAAAAACTTGCAATTAAAAAAATGTTTAATATCTAAAAAACATTATTAACAATCAAGATTAATCATTTTTTCAATTAATAAAATTCAAATGTCAAAAGATGACAGAAAATTCTTAAATAATTTATTGGATAGCAAAAAGCTAGATTATGATACATGAGGTTTTAATAAATGTTACATGTGACATTCAATGGACATTATGATTGCTAGATCCAAGATCTATTACATTACATATTTCATGAGGTATAGTTGTCTACAGATGTTATGATTGTTTTCAATGAAAGTTAAAACTGTTTAAGTGAGAAAATAAAGTCTTTTAAAGTATAAATAATGATAAGCTAAAACAAAAAGTTAATCAAGAAAAATTTTTTTTACAAAAATAATATTCTGTTTAAAATAATGAATATCTTGTAGAATATTTTAAAATTTCCAATTTTTGAAGATTGTGGGGTGGGAATGTTAGTAAAAATAATACTGATTTAAAAATAAAACAAACCTTAACATATAAAATATTATGATTTTCTTTATTCCAAATAGAATATGAAAATGAGTTTTTACATTCAATTAATCCTAACCTTGAATCCCAATCATCAGTGCCAGAATTGTATTTGTAAGTTGGTTTAAAGTTCACTTCCCCTTCAAGAAAATTTTCAAAGACATCACTATGCCCAAGTTGTCTGTAAAGCTGTAAGTATTTAAAAAAGGAAAAACATTTTTGCATTTGAAACAATGAATTAGAAAAAAAAATCATTGTTATTTTATATTAGCTGCTTTCCATTGATACAGAACATGTGAGTAAACTCCCTTTACTACATATTAATGTATATATCAGCTGTATTTTCAACTGTTGCGCTTTATCTTTCTAATGAATAAATAGTAAATAATTATCAAGTAGTTAGTAACTGTATCTAACACAAGATGCTCATCAATATTTAAAAGTTAATATAAAAGCATTAGTGGCATGGTGAGACTGACTTTCAAGCATATGGCAAGCCTCTTGCTGCTCTATTGCCACTTACATGGAAAGTGCTTGGACGAACTACATTCATTGGTTCCACCAGTTCTAATCTTCACAGCAAGGACCTGCCATGCCACTCACATTGTAGCAAGCCACTCACATTCCATCAGTGAGAAGTAAGTTCCATTCGAACAGCTTCTTCCCATAAACCACTGCTTTGTGGAACAGACTCCCAAAAGGATGTTTCCCCGATCACTACAATCTTAACCTGTTTAAATCTAGGGTTAACCATTATCTTCCTTGCCTATCCATCCAAATTACCCCCCAATGTAACCTTCTTTCTTGAGTGGCCCCCATGCCTTGTAAAGGCTGAACATTATTAAAAAAAAAAAAAAAAAAAATTAATAATAATAAAGAATACAAAAAATATTCAGTTTACCTAGTTGCTGGCAAAATTTCTACTTTATACATCAAATGGAGTCAAAATTTAGGATTGATAAAATTTGAGGCAATCACTTAAATTAGGGTTTAATCCTTTCATACCACTCCAATCAAATCATTAAAGAGAATAAGAAAAAATAATAATTTAAGTAAAATCTCTTAACAAGATTTACATACCATTAGGACACAATTTCCAATGTAAAAACTCAAAATAGTATGGCAGCAGATTAGAGCCTACATCATTGTAAACTAATTACAATGTAAACTTAGTTAGGTATGATGTGTAAAAAATGTCTAAATCTAGGAGAATATAATTATAAATATGTTAATCTACAGATTAAGCAATTTTGTCTTTTGAGAATTAGTGAATGGGTTAACTATTTGTTAACATGAAATAAAAAAGTAAAAATTTCCTGTCTGTAAGAAAAATCAATTATTGAATAAGCATGAAAAAAAAAAAAAAAAACTATTTTCATTTGTACATATTATTAAAACAAGTTAAAAGAACTGTATTAATCAACTTACTTGATCAAACTGTATGAGTTTGTTGTACATTTTGTGCTCAATTAATTTTTTTACATCGACAATATCAATATCTGATATTCGGTAATTTAAATCACCAATCCAAAAAATTATTCTGAAAACAATGAAATATTTTAGTTTAAAGCAAGTGAAATACAACAAAAATCCTTTCTTTGTTTTAACATAGAATATATTTTTAAATTAGTTTTTTGCTCCTTTAAATTAAAAGTTGTAGCCAAATTAAGATTACAATCAATTCAAATGATTTGGCATAAGATGCAATTTGTACATTTGCTTCCATGACAAATGAAGATTTATAAAAAATATACCAAAATTTAATGTGTCCTTTCTAGACTGGTTTTGTTTAAAAATGAGACACTTGATTACATAGACAAGTCAGTCATATCTTGAAAAACATACAATTGCTTAATCTTATCAAAACCCATAATTTCTATAGATTGCATTTACAATAGCTTTAGTCTTTCATGCAAGATGATTAAATGTGTAGAGAAAGATGAGGATATTAATATAAAAAAGAAATTATAAACTGACTTACTCATGATCATCCATGGTAAGATTAGGAACAAACTGTCGAAAACGGAGATGAGAACTGATATCTCGATAGTCCTGAATGAACATTCAAGTAGAAAAAAAAAAATCAAAGGTAAAGCTACAAACATTTTTTTTTTAAGGAACTTTGGAAACTTTGGGCACTTATTGAAAATATTTTTAAAAATTATATGTCAAAACATTAAGGAAAGAAAAGCAACAGAACTGAAAAAAATCAGTTGAAAGTTCATGACATAGAGAAACATGACTGATATGAATAAATAACCAAATTATTTTGAACATTTTGTCAGTGCAATTTTATAATTACATTCTTGAGCTAGTAAGATATTAATGTAATAGAAAGAAAAAAATATTCACACATGTATTTAATATTATCTGATCTAACTGTTTATATCTTCACACCTCTTGCTTCTCCATTATCTTTTTTCAATTCCTTTTTCCTTTTCTTCATCTTCAAGTGCTAGTATGACTTATTCATCTCCATCACCAGACCTTTGTTTGGTGAGCTTTTTCTTTTTTTTTTTTTTGTTAGTAAAACTAGCATGCACTACTTTCTCTGTTCTGAGCTCTCATTAGGAAGGTTTTGCATGTCATTTTACCATAGGGTTTCTTTTTTGTTTGGATGGGGGTTATGTCGAGTTAATCATTTACTAACGAGAGCTAAAACAAATAGTTCAGTTGAAAGGAATTACCAATTCTTCTCATTCTCATGTAAACTGGTTCATTGCTACTCAAGTATAAAAATCATATTTGGATAACGTTTATTCTATAAATCCACTGCTTACAATGTTCAGAAAACCTGAAGGATTCTGTCTTTACATCAACAGGATATGATAGAAATCCTCTGAACAAAGTCTGTATTAAATATCCAGCTTATCTTGTGCTGTTCACTTCAGTTTTTATCTTGTTTAATTCTTATTGTCCCATAAAGCCCATGGTGTCAAATTTTATCAGTATCAAATAATAATGCTACTGTTTTGTGAATAAACTTACTGATCTTTTCTTAGATCCTGAGCTGTTGAGAAAGAAAAAGAAGACTGATTACCTGGTTTCGTCGTTCAAATTCATCTTGGTGAGCTGCTAAATGAGAGCTGATAAAGCACAGTGATGTGTTATGGATGGTCATCCTCACAGCCACACCTCCCTTATTGCCCTACAAAATAACAATACCAACTAAGCTTATTAATTGAAAAATAGTTACAAGAAAAATATCTTCAAATAAATGCATACCTGAAAGGCACCTTCTATTTGACTCACTTGTGGTTGGAGAGAATCCTCATCTTTTGACAGAAAATTTCTTATTCCAAATATTTAAAACCAGAGATATTTATAGTAACATCTGATTGCTTAGAATTGAATCTGGTGAAAGTTTTATGAAAAATATTCAGTGCTGAAAGTATCTAACTAACAGAAAGTGAGAGATTAATTATGTTTTGCTTTTCACTTCAATTATACTTGAAGAAAACATTGAGCTATAATATCCATAGAGTTGAACTATTTGAAAAGGGAGGAAAATGAAAATAATTAAATTTCCTTTTTATTTTTTGTAGAAGTTTAAATGATTTGAAAAATTTCATGTTTCCTCTTTTCTATTATAAAGTAGTAATTTCTACTGTTAATATTCAATGGAATTTAAAAGCATAGATATACATACTGATGAAAGCATCCCTGTTATAGAAGTACATAAAATTAGACACTAATATTTAAATGTTTTGCTTCAGTCTAAACTTATCAGAATCAAAGAAGAATAAAGTGACTGTTGTGAATACATTCTGGCTTGGCTGACAGAAATAAACAAATAACAATTCCTTTTATAACTGTATTGCAACTCAACAAAAAACATTGCTACACAATTGAAATGCAGAAACCTATGCAATATATTTTAAGTTGTCGATAACACTGATTTGAAAGATTAAAGTCTAAGAAAAAATATCAGCAAACAAGAACTGTTGTGCCTGCAAAAACTGGAGTGTAAAAAGAAGAGTTTCTCCATGACACCACTTTTATTTAACTACCATCACTTTTCAGCAATATTTATTGTTTTAAAAAGCAATGATTAGGATTTAAATAAAACCTAAACATATGAAAGTGAATTTATACACTGTTATACTTTGTCCTTTAGAATTGAAAACAAAAATAATAAACACTATTTATTAATTAGATTGTTTATTGGAATGGTTGGCAAAATATTGGCTAATTGCCAATTCATTTGAACTTTATAAAATGATAAATAATGACTTCCTTATAGTTGGTGCACACATTTTAATAATTTAGTAAAAGTTTATGAATAAAAATTTGTTTTCATATTTATTTCTTTATAAAATTGTATAAGATTTTATTCAAAATTATATTGTAAATATAAAATTATTCTTGTAAATAAACATCAAATAAATATTGTACAAATTCAATTTCATCATACGTTTAAGTTTTATTTCAATTCTGATCATCACTTTTTAAAACAATAAACATAACTGAAAAGTGAAGGGAGTTAAAATAAAAGAAGAGTCAAAGGAAAAAAACTGTCCTTTTGATACTCAGTTTTTTTTGTGGGAACAAAGGTCCATGTTTGCCAAAATTTAATCTTCCACCGTTTTTAAGTTTTGATTTTTCAAAATCTAACAACATTAAATATACAAATAAATTCAGAATAAATGGATTAGGGACTTTCTAATAAAATGATTCTTATTTCTAAAAAATATTGACGAGGCTGTTTGGCTAGGTAACAATGCAGAGCTAAAAACACTGACATTTCTATTGAAATGATCAGACATCATAAAGAGACTTAAGATGTTAAAATCATTTGAAATAATAACTGTAGAAATCCAATGGTAAGATGAATAAAGTCATTTGCAGTGGTATTAATAACATTGAAACCATTCAAATCATTCATGAAACCATTATTTAAGGAGCTTTTTCAAGTAAATCAAAGAAAATCCATTGGCTATATTTGGAACAATTTGAGAATTTTGCTGGAGTTATCACAAGTGTCAAGATTGAATCCTTTTTCTTTGCCATCATCTGATAATTTGTTCTTCTATGTGCCATTCACTGATTCTTTATGAAATGCATAAGCAAGTAAATAATGATTTCATTTCTCACTTCCTGTAAGACTTGTTAAATTAGTGATACTTACCAAAAATCCCATGATGCCAGTGGCCACAAAATCAGAGTCCACACAGTAGACAAAAGAGGCCAATTCCTGCCGTACATAGACAATTAGCATTATTCCAACTAAACGGATTAATTTTATCTGTAAAAAAAAAAAAGAACATTGTAGTTAGACAAAAGTTTGCATTTTTAACAGAAAATTTACAATTTGGCTAAAAATAAAGTTTCAAAAGTAAATATTCTCTTCATAAAAGATAAAACTAGCAAGCATAATAAATCAAACAATTTAAATCTTTGTACCTAAAACCAGAACAGATTAAAAATGTATCACTGTAAATTTAGTTTATATATATATATATATATATATATATATATATATATATATATGTGTGTGTGTGTGTGTGTGTGTAGCATCCTCTATGAGATCACTAAAAGAAGAGCATAGCATGATGAAAAATCCCCCAAATTTGACAAAAACAAAATTTCATCGTCAAAATGTTTATGGTATTATTAAGAAGAAAAAACAAAGTATTTTTTAATTATTTTTGCAAATTTTCCTTCTTTTTAGAACATTCTAACATTTCATTAAAAAAAATCTTGTTTCTCTTTATGTTAGCAGAAGTACAAAATAACTATAGCAAATTTTCATCTTTTTTTTAATGACAAACATTAATTTGGAAAATTTTCCAAAAATAAAAATAAATGTCAGATTTTAATGAAACTTTCAGAAACTATTGACAAATGATGGAAATTATAATAAATATGTTTTCTTTTTTTAAAGTCATGGCAAAAATATTTTTTTTATATTTATTAAATAATTAATTTTATGAAAACTCTAGAAATTCCATACTGTACAATTTAGTGGTTATATTAGTTAAAAGCACAAGGCTTTGAGGTAAGCAAATCATGCTTTGTTTTTTGTTTTTTTAAATATGATCCCCTCTACCTTAAAATCAGCTTTGAACTGTAACATACAAAACTCAATAAAACAAAGATATTTAATTTCAAATGCTTTTAGTTGTTTTTATGAATATGGATAATATTGTCTGAAAGCAAAAAACTTTTTTGATGACAAATTAATTTTTAAAACAATTATTTGTTATTTCTTAAATTATTTTATTATTTTTAAATTAAAGTTGTTAAATATTCTAAAATTAGTGAAAATGATGTATAATTTAATCAATAATGTTATTAAGTAGATCTATCTTTACAGATTATAAATTGTAAAGCTGGTTACAATCAGGAGACCCCCAGTATATATAAAAAAAACTAATTTCACATGGCTTTTATGTCCATAAAACAGCTGTAATTCAAATGTATGGAAGACCAGAAACAGCATTAATACAATAAAACATGACATTATTACTTCCCCGCTGTTACGGCCTTTATTTTTTTATTTATTTTTGCAAATTGTTCATATGAAATGTGTGGAGAAGTTAATTTGATTTTCAATTTCAACTGACTGAGAATGGTACCTACAAGTATTAGGTACCTATCTTATGAAATTTATATGATCTTATTTTTATAATAATATGAATAGAAATACAAATAATGCTATAAAATGTAATAAATGGACATAAAATTATAGTATTTCATGAACACTTCTGATAAAATTTCATAAGAAAGATACCTATAATTATTTAGATACCTTTCTTATGAAATTTTATTTATAATATGTTTTCCAAAAAGCATCAAAAACAGAAAGGTGAAAGCTAAGTAACAAAAAAAAAAAAAAATTAGAGCACTGAAAGTTTTCTTTAAAAATATCAAGGTAAATAAGTTGGTTTACATAAAACTAAATAATTATGTTACTTCTGTCCTTCCATACGAGAACTTTCTTTATGAAAGATGTCAATATGTGATGAAATCATCACTTGTCAATCATCATCATTCTTAAAACCTGCTTCCACTTATTTTTAAACTACATTTTTTTGGTTCAGAAAGTAAGTAATATTTGTTTCAAAATATATTAAATAAACTTTATAATTTCTAATTTTTTTAAAATAAATTTTGAAAAAAGGATAATTGATTTTTAAAAGATTTTTAAACAGAGAATTTCACTTTTGTTTACAAAATGGAATAAATGGTTGACATGATCAATTTTGTGTCAATTTTGCTGACTCAAAAAAATAGATTAACAAAAATTTCGGACATGCTACGAATTATTAAAAAATGTAAAAAAAATAATCAAAAAATACTTTGGTCTTTCTTCTTAATAACAAACATTTACACAATAAAAATTATTTTCATCAAGTTTAGAGCCTTTTTTATTCATGCTTTGCTCTTTTTTTAGCAATGAGATATATATATATATATATATATATATATATATATATATATATATATATATATACATTAAGTGCTACTCTTAATAAAAAAAAAATTTTAAATTATGCAATGGTCAGTTTTAACTCAGCATCTGAAGATTGAGTTGTCATGAAACTCAGAGTTATGCTACTGATGAGGGGGTGGGGAATTGTATATATATATATATATATATATATATATATATATATATATTTTGAACAATATTTTTGAATAATAAAAAATAAAAAATTAAAATCATTAGACACACTGGGTTGTAGATTAATATTCTTTCGTTTTTTTATTATTATTATTATTCCATTTAGATTCCTCGACTAGTTTAGGCCGGAAATGGCCATCATCGGGAGGAGAAATATTTCTGCTTGCTGTTGGCAGTGAACTACAGAAATGAATGTCTTTTGTTGGAGAAAATGAACTTTTGTCTGTAGTTTTCATTTGTTTTTTTATTTTTTTATCTTTTTCACATGAATCTTTTAACATTCCTTGTGTTGGTCAAACAGTCTCTTTTAAGTTGTTATTTGAGATAAGAACTGGATAGATACATTTTATCCTGAATTCTCTGGTCAGTTTGACAGTTTTATTGGACCTGGTGAGGGGATGTGTCTCTGTTTAGTGTTTGTGTGTGTGTTATTTGGTTCTTAGGGAGTGAGTGAGTATGATATGTGTAAGCGTGTGTATTGCTGTAGGTGTGTGTTATCATTTGGCTCATTAGGGAGTGAGTGAGTATGGTGTGTGTGCGTGTGTATAATCGTGTGGGTGAGTGTATAAGTGTGAGGCCTCCATTCCTCTGTAAGCATGTCCGTCTTGTGTGGGTGAGAAATGTGGGTAGGTTTTGATTTGTTGATTGTTACTATTATATATTGTTAAATTTATGATTTAGCCCGGCTGGGTATTGTGTTTTTTAGACGTTGTATCCACTTATTTTCATGGGACTCTAAAATCTTTCTAATGTTATCTGCTCTGAACTTCTCTATTCTCTCAATTATAGTGAATCTGGCATGGGTTTTGAAATCGTGTTTTTCTAGGCGGAAATGTTGTTCTACAGGTAATAACTGTTCATAGGGAGTCGATTTAATTAAACTTACGATAATTATTAATTCTGTAGTTAAAGGGCCATTCAGATTTTCCTACATATTGTTTCTGGCATAGTGTGCATTCTAGGAGGTAAATTATGTTTTGACTTCTACAGTTAGAATCGTGGTAGATTTTTGAAAGTAGATTTAGTGATTGAGCTAGTGAATGAATTCGTGTTTTTAATATGGTTTGCAACATAAACTTCTTTTTGTTGTTACATGGTTGGGAAAATCCTGTTGTTTTTGTTCTCAGTTCCTTACAGATTACCTTGTCCCCTGAAATGTGGTTACTACCTATGATTTCTTTTTAGGTTCTTAGGTCTCTGATATGCAAGAAGGCCGGGTTCCTTAAGCAGTTTTTTTAGGTCTGGTTTGAGATGTAGTATTTCCCAGCGGCGTTTGATTATTTGGGATAGTGGAGGCAGAGTTGGATTGAATGTGGTTACTAGAGGGATGCGGCTAGATTTATTTTTAATCTTGTATATTAGGGTGCCTTCTCTAGGTGTGGAAATTGCTTTATTTATTTGTTCCCTGATTAGGTGTTGTTTATAGCCACGTGTTGTGAATTGATGCTCCAGATTTTCAATGTGTTTATTTAATTCTTCATTGTTGGAACATATCCTTCTGAGTCTAAGTGCTTGTGAATAGGGAAGGTTCTCTTTGAGGTGTTTAGGGTGGGAAGACTTAAAGTGTAGATAGTTGTGGGTGTCGGTGATTTTAGTGTGTAGTGTCGTTTGTAGTTTCCTGTTTTCATCTATGTAAATGCGGGTGTATATATATACACACACACACATGTAAAAGAACAAAGAATAACCTTCAAAACATTAATTTAGAACAAGGCTCAATACAAGAATAGAGCAATAAATATTTATTACACACTGTTACATTAGAACGTGTAAGTTACTACTACAAAATTGTACATTTTGTCTCAATGTTAAATAAACAACATTTCATTTTATTTAAAATTACAATTTATGAAACATTTCATTTTCTGTTTTTGGAAAATTTTCCCTACAAGGTAAAAAAGATTTTTTATAAAGCAAAACAGGAAAGAAAATAAGATATCAATAAAAGGAAGTGGAAAGAAAATAAAAGAAAATGGAAAAAGAAAGCATAAAAAATTAACCCTATTACCGAGAGAATAGAAATGAAAGAAAGGCAAAAGAAAGAGAGGAGTATATTCAAAATTACACAGATACAAAAGAAGAGGAAAGTTAAGAAAATAACATGAGAAGTTGGTGATACATGTTAAGCCAATGAAATTATGCTGAAAAAGAGAATTCAAATGGATTCTGCAGAGTTTTTGGACTTAGATTGTACAATAAGAATAATCCAACTAACTGATATTGAATTGAATAGTATAGGTCTTTATAGAGATGATGGACTCATGATTGTAAATAAATCTACTGGAAGTAAGGTTGATAAACTTAAAAAATTAATCCAGTGTTTTTAAATCTTTTGGTCTTAGTATAGTTATTAATTCTAATATTAAACAAGTTGATTTCTTAGCTGTAATGTTAAATTTGGTCTGCAATAATTTTCTTACATGAAAAACAATGCCAACCCAATTTATATCCACCCTAAATCTAATCACCTACTGTCTGTAACCAACATATTCCATCATCAGTTGAAAAATGTATTAATCAACACTCCTCTAGCAAAGAGATATTTGAAAAACATAAAACAGTTTATGATAAAGTTCTCAGGGATAGTGGGTTCAGATCTTCTGAAATTAGGTTTGCAG